TAGAGACAGGGTTTCACCATGTTGACCAGGATGGTCTCGATCTCTTGACCTCGTGATCCACCCGCCTCGGCCTCCCAAAGTGCTGGGATTACAAGCGTGAGCCACCGCGCCCGGCCTCACCTGTTTTCCTTCTTATGAAACAAGACGCATCCTCAGGTTCACATCTTCTTGGTAGCACAGACAGAGAGGCAAGACCTGTTCTCTTTAACCTGAGGGGTAAACCCCACATAAATTGTAGAGAGAAACACCAAGATGAATTCCATTGTTGCTCAGACATTTTTATTGGCATAGGTTGTATGTTTGTGCATGTGTGTGTGTGTGTGTGTGTCTGCTTCATATTTTCTAATCAAACAAACAACTAATGTAAGCTGCCTAGGATGAAAAACAACAATACATGTTTGAGGCAATCAAACAAATCCACACGCAACTGTAGCCAAAGCCAACAGAAGGGCCACATAAAGCTTGTTTCCTGAGACAAGAAAACCTTTGTGTCAATGGGAGAATAAGACACAGTCTGGTTCTTTTGATGATTTGTTCTATGCACACAACACATCAGGATATTTTAGAAACTCATCCATTGAACACATTTTTATTGAGCACCCATTATGTGTACCAGACACTGTTCCAGGCACTAGTGATACAGTAGAAGATAAAACAGACAAAAATCCCAGCCTTACAGAGCTCCAAAAGCCTATATTCCAGTGAAATCAAGATAGGAAAACTTATCCCATAAAATTAAGGTAAAAAAAAAAAAAAAAAAAAACAGGAGAACTAATTCACGGAGAACATGGCCAAGTTATGAGCCAAGGAACAATTCCTCTGAAGAGCACCAAAACAAATTCTCTCTCTATTGCTTAAGTCAGAAAGAAACAATGAAGCCCCTGTGGGGTCAACCCAAAAGACAAACCCCCGACCCATGCTTAAGAAAGCCAGGGTCCACTCTCCGTCAAACACTTTTAGGATGGAGAGGTCAATGCTTAGGGCTCCCCAGGGGGAGACAAAAGGGCATTTTAAAAGTCTGTCCCCAAACCAATGGCATTTCCAACCAGAGTGAAAGCAATGGTTCCAATGCAAATGTCTCTCAAATATGAAATCCAACAAAGAGGAACATAACTTGCAGATAATAAAAAATAAAGAACCATGAAACTAAAAGTAAAATGTTTATAGCATAATAGCTTAACATATTAAAATGAGAAAACAGAAAAAGGTTTTGCTTAGGAAAATACTTTTCTTAGCCCAAAGTCATAAAATGGAAACTTACTGTAAGGTAATTTGGCAGTTTAAAATGCAGACAGATAACCTTTGATTTACAATTTCTGTTCTGTTTTTCTAAGGTAGGACAAATTTGAAAGTATTCAGTAAAACTTGGTTTTATGTAACAAATGTACAAAGTCTTAGAGTCGTCTTTGAGCCTTCACTAAACAGAACAGGACTTGCTAGATATCAAAGAGGCTGTGAACAAAATCAACAATTCAAAAACCAACAGGGTAACAAGCAAACTGCATAGCAAGATGCATTGAGAGAAAAATAAACTATAGTAAAACCTCATTAACCAAAATTCATGAGACAAGGTGAGTTTATGTGAAAAAAAAAAAATTTTTTTTTTTTTTTTTTTTTTTGACAAAGTCTCACTCTGTCACCCAGGCTGGAGTGCAGTGGTGCAATCTTGGCAGACTGCAACCTCTTCCCCCCGGGTTCAAGCGATTCTCCTGCCTCAGCCTCCTGAGTAGCTGGGACTACAGGTGTACGCCATGATGACCAGCTAAGTTTTTTGTATTTTTAGTAGAGAGGGGATTTCACCATGTTGGTCAGGCTGGTCTTGAACTCCTGACCTCAAATAATCCCAAAAGGGTGCTTTTTAAAAAGGGCTTTAAAACTGCTTAAGTAGTTCAAATAGGCTTCCTTATATTAATTTGTTTCAGTAAATTCTTTGGCTTAACTCATTATTTTACATTTTAGAATTAATGAGGTTTTACTGTAAAAGTAGAAAAGCAAACACTTCAAGTGATAAGACTCCAGCATCACCCATACTAAAAAGTTAGCAATAAAACAGCAGTTTGAAAAGCTACTGTACAATGCAGCAAGGACCAGGTGTTAATACTGCTAGAAGCAACGCCAGGTAGAGTAGGAAATCTGCATAGTATTATGCCTATGGTTCTTAGACTTATTCAAAATACAGAACTGCAATCTTACAATGAAACAAATACTGCTTATTAGAAGAGACTACAGGTAAAGCTTTTTACGAAAAAGAGAGAAGTATTTTTAAATGGAGGCACAGTGGTAAGGTATTCAAATTCAGTCACGTGTCAGCATCACACGTTAGCAGCAAGATGCACCCACACTTCAGGTTTCTGAATAACATGACTACATCAAAATCAAGCAAATAAAAATCAGAACAACCACTACACTAACCTTGAGCTTCCACATTCCCCGCCACCACTTTTTTTTTTTTCTTTTGAGATGGAGTCTTGCTCTGTCACCCAGGCTGGAGTACAGTGGCACAATCTCGGTTCATTGCAACCTCCGCTTCCAGGTTGAAGCGATTCTCCTGCCTCGGCCTCCCAAGTAACTGGGATTACAGTGCCCACCATTGTGCCTGGCTAATTTTGTATTTTTAGTAGAGACAGGGTTTCACCATGTTGGCCAGGCTAGTCTTGAACTCCTGACCTCCTGATCCACCCGCCTCGACCTCCCAAAGTGCTGGGTGGGATTACAGGTGTGAGCCACCACACCCAGCCTCACATTCCCTTTTCATGTGAGACTGATGCAGACCATCATAATCCGGAAAATGTGGCTTTCCCTGTGGTCAAATCACGACATGTCTCCCGAAAAGTTTATAAAATAAGTTATTCTAAACATGTACATTTAACTTTGGAATGATGGAGAGACACAGAGATATATGTAAACATCAAGAGAATCACTCTACTCCACATCTGGGTCCACACCTCTCCAAGCTTTGTCTGGAACATTATGTGGCTGGGGCCTGATTGCAGTGAGGGTGTGGGAGCCCAGGTGGGCAATGGATAAAGCATTAGAAAACAATCAAGTATCAAGTGTCGGGTATTGGTCAATCAGAATGGCTTAAATAATTAGTTAACAAGGAAGATGAATAAAAAAAATCCCATTTCATCTTTAGAAAGAATTAAGTCACTAAAATTTGATTTCTTCTAAGTTGTTGCCATTTGCTTGGATGAGATCTTGAAGGTTTTCCATCTTTCTCCACCCAGTTAAGAACACATTGACTAGAAATCTGTGATAAGAATTTAGTAAAGGCTTTTCCCCTCCTGCTCCTCGTTATGCCAATGCAAGAACTGGAAAATTCCAAACAAAATCAGGTTAGTGGTACAGAAAGTTTATGAATGATCTACGTGAATATTAAGCACAATAATGATCCAACACATCAGACTAACAACTTCTCATTGTGGTCACTGTCTTTACTCGGCCAGGCTAATCACAAGTACAACTTTAAAAACTGGTTAAATTACAAATGAAAAACTGTTCTTAGCAGTGAGAATCATATTTCCTACCCAGTCCTAGACATGTAACTAAGAAAAATAGTCTGCTCACCGATGAGAAAACGGTGGGCCAAGAGGGTTCTAATCAGAGAGACGGCAGCATTCCAGGAACTCACCACCCTCCCTGCTTCCCATAATACTTACCATCCTACCCCCTTAACACCTCTCACATAATAAATCCCAATTAACCAAACCATAAGCTGCAAGGCAGAAGAAGGAAATACATACCACTTATAGCTTCCTGTGCGAAGTATTTGACATCCATGTCTTCATCTTGACCTAATTTCTGTAGTACTGGCTTAACTTCTCCCTGTAAAGCACTGACATTCAAAAATATTATCTGTGAAAGACAATCTAATGGGCCAGAGAAATCCTTTTTGGTGTATATGCTTTATGGTAATTGTTAAAAGTTAAAAAAAACTTTTTTTAACTTGACAAATACACAAAATAATGTCTAAAGAAATTCTCAGCAAAAGTAGCTTCAGACAATGATCTACACATACATAGAGGATAAATATAAAAGTCATAGTGGACATCCTCAAGAATGGTTGCTAAATTATTTTCTTAAAGTAAACCCAGATCTTAGGTAAAGTGAAAATCACTGAACTTAATTTTAGCTAATTACTCCCCACTATATCGTAAAATTTAAAATACACTTTAAAAACAAGACTAAACACTAAAATCTTACCTGGTATCTAGAATTGGTCCAATTTTTTGTAGAGATTTGGCCACATTGAAGCGAACATTTGCTACTTGGTCTCCTGCCATTTTTAATACGATGGGCAGCATGTGCTTAGTGGTTATTTCCTGACCACAGGCCTCAGACAGTGCCTAGCAAAATAAGTAAGACGGCACATTTAAAACACTTAAAAAAAAATTCCAATATCTAATGAGACAAATTAATATTTAATAAGAAAATAATTGACCAATAGGAAAATATTTCTAGTTTGAGCAGCTCAGTGAGGGACACAGGAATCAAACGATCAGAGAATTAGACCAGAATTCACAACTAAATTGCACTTTTAAAATACTGTAGTTTTTTTTTTTTTTTTAAGACAGAGTTTCACTCTGTCACCAAGCCGGAGTGTAATGGGTGTGATCTTGGCTCACTGCAACCTCCACTCCCTACCCCCACCAGGTTCAAGGGATTCTCCTGCCTCGGCCTCCCCAGTACCTAGGACCACAGGCGCGCACCACCATGCCTGGCTAATTTTTGTACTTTGGAGTAGAGACAGGGTTTTGCCATGTTGACCAGGCTTGTCTCAAACTCCTGACCTCAGGTGATCCACCTGCCTCAGCCTCCCAAAGTGCTGGGATTATAGGCGTGAGCCTCTGTGCCTAGCCAATACTGTAAATTTTCATATGAATTTTAAAATTGGCATTTTCTCTCATCTCCTATTCCAATTAATCAAAACAAGACATATATTCCAAATAGAAGACATTATATTCAGAATTCAGAAATAGTCATGAATAATTTTGCTTTAATGCCTAAGCTTAGCAATAACAGTTATGTTATACTTACGTTAATGCAGAATAAAGTGGTCATTCTATGCAAGTAATTAGGATCATTTGCCATTATTAACACTTTGGGAACGATGGTATTTTGGGCCCACTCTGTACCAAACTTCTGAACTAGTTTCATGAGGTTGTTGGTAGCAGCTTCTCGGATGGCATATACTGAAGAAGAGGTCAAAAGCACATTCTCATATTGCTTATTGTTTTTTAAGCATAACCTAGTTTACTTACATGAACATCAAACGTGGACCAAAAGCAAAACCTCTCTGCAATCAGACTCCACATGTAATCATGCTGCAATGATAAGCATACTGAGCTCCAACTCAGTTTCCAAATGTGCATATCCAAGAGTAAAGGGATGCAAAGAGCTATGTGCATCATCAATTATTTAACAAATACAAGTGCCTACTATGTGCTACAAAAAGAATACAGAAGATACTTTCCCTCACAGGTCATACCTCTTATCAGGGAAATGAAAGCTAACACACTCCATGAAGTCACATGGTGTAAGAGTAATTAGAATGAAGTATGGCAATGTGTAGTAAAGGCTGTGAGGGTTCTAACAGTGCAGAGAAGAGAATAAGGAAGGTCTGGGAAGGTTTCAACAAAGGAAGAAGGCTTGCACTGGGCAGTGAAGATTAGGGAGGATCTATCTAAGTGGAGAGAAGCAGGGAGGAATTCCTAGAAAGGGTAAAGACATGTATCCAGGACACAAAGGGAAAAAACTGAAACCAGTGAGACTTCAAAGTTAGATAATTAGGGTGGACCCAGACCACAAAGCATCTTGAAAGACTCAGAGTTGATGAGAAAAACAGTGATGGGTTTTTAAAGCAAACTTGTGACCTGATGACCAATGCGGAATTTTAGCAAGATTATTCCAGCAACATCACAGAGAACCGATGTTGAGTCAGAAAGACATCAAGGAAATGGTGTAGAGGCCACAGTGGTCATCTATACAACAGCAAATACAAACATCAGACTAACGTGCATTCTTCTCCATTAAAATGCTTAGGTTGAGACAAGATGTCAAATGTCTTTGAATCAATGTGCCTGCCTTAACATCTAATAATTCTCTATAGCCTTTGATAAATTATCAAAGACATAAAGCTAGACAATAAGGGTCAGAGCTACAATCCTCTCACAATTAGTTGCTATATACAGCACTGAACAAAGACAAGCCTGGTGTCACTTCACCTTACAGATCCAGTGAGACTCAAAATTTGGGCTTAGATTAACAAATCAAGGGTGGTAGGTACTGATTCCTCAGTCTACTTCTCTCCAGGTAGGCCCAACCTTCCTGGGATGATAGGAAGGGCAGGAGTAGCTATCCAAGCCACAGTCCCAGTTGTAGGCAATTTATACAAGCCTCCAATCAAGAAATAGCCAACTTTTTCTATTCGCAGATACTTCAGGGCAATTATGTAGAGAAAAGGCAAGACAGCATAGACAAGTAACCATACAACTGATTATCAACACTTAAACTGACAGTCTATAGGAGAAGCAACCTGTCAGTAATACTCAGAAGCACTAAGGAGCAAATTCAAGTCAACTGTTTAACTGTAATACAGGTTCCTTCCCTTCATATCCATAGTCTTTGTCTTTGGCCCAAACCCTTCCCTGTCCTTCCCTCTAAGGTAGAGCTAGCTAGAGAATTTGTGTCTTTTCCTCTAATTACTTTTTTTTTTGAGACAGAGTCTCACTCTGTTGCCCAGGCGGGAGTATTGTGGCGAGATCTCGGCTCACTGCAACCTCCACCTCCCAGGTTCAAGCAGTTCTCCTACCTCAGCTTCCTGAGTAGCTGGGATTACAAACGCCCATCAACACACCCTGCTAATTTTTGTATTTTTAGTAGAGACAGGGTTTCACCATGTTGGCCAGGTTGGTCTTGAACGCCTGACCTCAAGTCATCAACCCACTTCAGCCTCCCAAAATGCTGGGATTGTAGGCATGAGCCACCATGCCCAGCAAATTACTACTTTTTTTTTTAACATTCTTTAGATTTTTATCATAATGTCACTACCATAGAAATGGATTTTACTGCCAGAACCAGAAACTGGGCACACACACACATAGCCTTGACTAACTGCACTAAACTCTACTTGGCCAGGTGCCTACTAGGTTCTTGGCTCATCTGAAGTCTGTTTTCAGAAGAATGCAAACCATTCCACAGTCCTGCCTGTTTTCTTTTGTCTATTTCTTTCTCTTTCTCTCTCCCCATTTCCCCTCAACCTGGCTGATCTGCAAGGTTTCTTTGAATGTCTATGCTCACTGATACTTTCTCCTTTCTCCTGTAATAAATAAATATCTACACTCCTCCCTCTGATTAAAACTGTCTACTCAACCACAGGAATACAGGTGAGTGAAACTTTCTTCCTTATATGTCTCTGGAATTTTCACAATGTTCTTTTAGTAGTTTCATAACTAGGAAAAGAGTTTCAAAAACTCTAAAACTGATCCAGTGATCACTATATAACACTTATCTGAAAAGCAAAAGCAAAAAAAGTTCCTGTGATTAATTAGGCACAGGACAATTTCAGAGCTGTTATTTCATTGGTTCATGGAGCTCCTGGAGAAACCACTTCAGCATGCTGCTGCAGTGAAATAAACAAGGGTTTCTCCTGCTCCCAAAGCAAAAGAGAAAATCAGAAAAGAGGAAGGAGTAATCAAGTTGCACACAGAAAGCAATCTTACAGAGAAAGGGTATCAGGAATCTAATTCTTTGTGGAATATCAGAACTTTAAAAATTCCTCAAAATAAAACACAATCTTAATCTAAAATGCCAATTTTTAAAGAAAGCATAGAATGACTTGGAACCAACCCAAATGCCCATCAATGATAGACTGGATAAAGAAAATGTGGCACATATACAGCATGGAATACCATGCAGCCATAAAAAAAGAATGAGTTCATGTCCTTTGCAGACACATGGATGAAGCTTGAAGCTATCATTCTCAGCAAACTAACACAGGAACAGAAAACCAAACACTGTATGTTCTCATTCCTAAGTGGGAGTTGAACAATGAGAACATATGGGCACAGGGAGGGGAACATCACACACTGAAGCCTGTCAGGGGATGAGGAACTAGGGAAGGGAGAGTATCAGGACAAACAGCTAATGCATGTGGGGCTTAAAACCTACATGGCAGGTTTATAGGTGCAGCAAACCACCATGGCACATGTTTACCTAGGTAAAAAAACCTACCTGCACGTTCTGCACATGTATCCCAGAACTTAAAGTATATCCACCAATTTTTAAAAAA